TTACAATTGGCGCTTATTTGATGTTAAAAAATTTTGACTTAAATTTTACCAAAGCAAGCTAGAAATAACCGAGAATTTTTCTCAAAAGGTAACTAAATTTTTACTGTTTTTCAATTATAAATTGCATACTCGGCAAGGTCTTCAAAATAATTTTTTTTCAATGTTTACAAAATCATTTCTTGTTATATGACCTTCACTGTGTTATATTTATATGCGTAAATGTATAAGAAGCACATGTGCGGCACTGCAGGATACTCACTCGTTACAAGGACCCTATCAGCTCTTGACGATAGCGCAATGCAACGACTTTGCAAACAGATATGCCGTTGTTTTGCGCCATTAGTCTTAAGTCTGAATTTATTTCATGCTACATACATAATTAACATTCATGCAATATACATACAATGCTATTGCCTTGCATCGCTTCATTCCAAATACTCACCTAGCCAGTCTTATCAGCGCCATCTTCCCGTAATCCTTACAGCTTAATACGGAATCCGTTCGGAAGAGTTGCAAATATATGTATGTAAGTAGAAGGTAACAAATTTCAATGGACAATGTTTTTATTTTTTTATGTATGAATGCTCGTTTATCCACTCAGCAGTTCGTTGTCCTTTTTCGTTGTTGGCCAGCTAGCAGCAGTTGGCAGTTAGCAGTCAAAGTCCAAGTCGAGTTGCAGCAATGCAATTACCACGCCCACGTACCAATTGTTGCTGCCTGTTGTCAGTTTTTTTTTCTGTTTTACTCCTTTTCACTTGTTTCGAGTTGAAGAAAAAAAAATATTTTTGGCAGTGATTTCTATTTATCAGCAAAATGGGGGATGCATACAAAAAAAAAAAGAATGATTCCTTTGGCAGACGGACAATTCTCACGTTTATTACTCAATTCACCGTCCCTTTTCACCTAACGATTTTTGTTACTTTGCAGCGGTTATTGCTCCGCACATTCGTCTGGTTATTGTTGTTGCTATTGCTGCTAGAGTGCAGAAATGTATGTATGTTTGTAAGTAGTTGACGCGTTGTTGTTTTTGCCGGTACACACGGCGCTATTTACCTTTTGTAGGTAGGAATTTCTTGTTATTATTTTTTGTTGTTGCTTTTTATGACTGTGTTTTGTTTTCGATTTTTCCACCTTTAACTGCCTGGCGATTGCGTTTAAATGATTACGTTTGTTTTCTCACGTTTAGTTTTATTTTCTGGTTGTTTTACATATGTACGTACATATATAGCATTTATTCCGTTGTTTTTGTACGCGGCTTTTCGTGTGTGTTTACATTACGATTTGCGCAAACTAAGTCAATTTCCGTTTGATTTGTTTATAGAATTTGCATTTATTCCAAGTCGTCATAGATACCACTGAGAAATTATGAAATTTTCGCTGCACAAATAACTTTGAATTCAACGAAAATTGTATAAGAATTTTATTTTCGGTAAGTCTTCTTTTAGATTCGCTAGTAATATTTTATTTTTAGCTTAAGAAAAACGTAGTTTCGACAGTTTCTTTGGGGAATTTGAAATCGTTTTTCTTTCAGCAGAGCACTTTTTTCTTGTTGCCAGCAAATTAGTGCAAGTTGTTTTTTTTTTTTCAAAAATATTAAGCGAATTGCTGTTAAAAATTAAGCGAACAGCTTTCACCAACTTATCTTCGCGCGCGTTTAAAATCAACTGAAGTTAAATCTGTCTGCTATCGTCGTTTTTCCACACTTTGCGATTTCAGCCACAATGAACGAAGAGCGCGAAACAATGCAGTGAGCGTCAAAAGCCGGTTTTTTAAATTCTCTTTAGCCAGCAGGGTTGCTTTCGTTGGGTTAATTTGCTAAGAAATGGTCTGTTTTTACATTTCTGGATAAGTTTCGGGCAAATGAGCGTTAATGCGAAATGCTCTCAAAACGAGAATGAAACTGCACAAAACCCCGGGAACGCAAAAAACACTTTTCGTTCCTGAAACTAAACATCAAATCGTATAAAATTTTAAATTTGAAAGCTGAACGGCGGCGAACTCAGCGTTAAATTGTTAGTGCAGTTGACATTTTTTTTTAATCAAAGAAAAAAGCGGTCTGTTATGCTGGATTTCCACTAGGCACTAAATGGCAAATGACAAAGTTGGGCATCAAAACATATTCGTATCATTACGTTAAAAAAATTGTCATTACGTTCATTTCCACATGGCATTTTTTTAAATGACATATAATTTTTGTCATTTCGGCGCATAGTGAAAATTCGACATTATTCATTAATGTTTGTCTTCCGCCAGATAGCCAGTTTTCACAAACAGTCCGGGCGGCATCGGATTAGTGAGAAACATAAATTACTCTCTGAAAGTGACTCTCACCGTTCAAGAACAGAAAACGAAACACAAATTAGCAAGCCCGCGAGGTGAAAGTGAAAACTGAGTTTTTTGTTCGGCTATAGAATGTAATAATAATAATAAGGCGTAAGATATTTGATTAATTTTGTAAAAAATGTGTAGCGGCATAATTTTTTATCGCCTAAATTACGACAAATACAATGTGCTTTGAGCAAGTCCCTACTCAACTAAATACAACTCTGTGTTTGAATCCGGTATCAGCGTTCGGAGTTTACTCCGACCGGAGTAGATTTGCTACGGTTTAAAAACAAATCATTTTTAAGCAAGAAACAAAACCGACTTCAATTCTCATACAAAAATTTTAGATTTCCGTTAATTTCTTCATCACCCAATGATGGGATTTAAATCAAATTGGTATGGGACCACCTGTGAGGTACCACCTTTCCTTTAAAAAAATGATATAAAGCGGTTAACGTGGTCCAAAGTTATCCGGTAACATACATAAAAACAAAAAAAATATTCCGACGAACTGATAACCCTCTCCCTTTTCTGAAGTCGGTTAAAAATTAAAATCTACAACTTGCTCCGTTTTTTTCACTTACTTACACTTCGGGCCGTTTTTTTGGTAGTTAACCCACTCAAAACTACCTAAATAACGCTATCTGAGAGGGAAAACCTGCTAAGCCCAGTTTTAAAAATTTTAAAGGAGAGAATAAAAGCCTTTCGCGTATGCCAAGCTAAACCAACCCCCAAACGAATCCATTTTCGCAATGTTAATGAAAAATTTGTCTGCTTGTGTATTGCTGAAAATAAACGGTTAGAAGTGAAACAGTTAGAATAATCGTTTAGGAAATTAATAATTTTTAATACATAGTTCTTACTTCCTGCATTAACAAATATTTTTTAGTAAAAGTGGACTTAGCAAATTTTCGCTCTAAGTTAATTATTTTGAACAAATTGCTCGAAGATGTTTAGGTCGAGATTGTCAGTCATCTCGGTACGAACGTCGGGGTGTCCGTTCATAGTCTCAGTCTGCACTTTGAATGTTAGCTAGTCTCTATCTCTAATCGCTGTGCTCGTTGTAACATTACATTTGCGTTTGTGTTTTTGCATGTATGTAGTTGAAGTTTAAAGAGATGTTTGCGGAAGCAATGCCCACAGCGCAATTTTCTAATTACTTGTAGTCCGAACGCTGGCTCCAGTATTGCTACAAAAAAAAAAAAAAAAACAAGGCAAGCAGTGTTACTTTCATTTCACTTCAGACTAGAGCTGCCAGATCATAAGCAAATGAATTGCGGCCTACACATCAAGACGGGCACGATGAGAGATATTCAAGTGCTGTTTTAGTTCGTCGAGGGAGGCCCTTACTGCTCAATTTTCTACAAGCCCAGAGTAGCCGTTGGTTGCCAGAGAGATTATTTGTGCGAGTACTGGTTCCCAAGTAGACGAAGCCACCGAGTCCAACAAGCCACGCCACTCCTTCCTCTTTTGTGCTGAATTGCGGCCGTTGAGTGCCAACTATATCCAAGTCTGTCTCTTCCCTTAGCTTCCATTGTCTTCTTTTTCCTCTACTACAACCATAGGGTAACGCGTTTAATTCTTTCAGGGCTGAAGCGTTTTCGTATATTCCTAACGACCAAATCAAATCAGCGGAGCCGCTATTTTTTTAATTATCTGTTCTAAGTCTAAGCGTATCGTTGTAATACTCATACAAGTCTGTGGTATTCATCGTCGTCAAAGGGCAAATGCCCGTAAATTCTACGTAGAATCTTTATCGATTACTTCAAGAACCGTCCAATCAAAAGTTTACTTGTCCGCGATTTTATGAGCCTTTCTCCATTTCAAATCCACCCTCATCAAAGATCCAGTTCGCTGGCACCTTGCTGATACGACGCCCATCTGTTCAAGTCCAAGGTCACACGCAGGTACACAAAGTACTTCCACTCTGGCTTTTCTTGGTAGGACCGAATGTATATCACTCCGATGGGGATGGACCAGAGGAAGACGGGTGTTAATTGGTTTTGGTTTTGCTGATATGTGAAGATATATTTTGTATCATGCAGAGAGAATTTAGTCTGCTCAGGTAGGAATGTATCTGCTGCAGTAGCCAGAACGCACTTGTGATAGTCTAGCGCGGCTTCCACAGGCAATTGAAGTTTTGTCTCATCAACGGTCGGTGTTAGCTTTCCTAAACCGGCCGCCACAGGTCGGGAGTTGGTGAGGGTTGCGACAGACTCCCTGTGAATGCCGGTTATGGCCTGCCTTTACAGTTCGTAGAGACGCCTTCTGACGAGACATGGCGCAGGTTCTGCCTCAGGTAGGTGTCTGTTCGGGTGCTCACGTCTGTGGCACCGTGCTACAAACGGCATGCACAGCATAATGTTTTGCTCACTCTCAGGGAGACTTTGGGCCTCAGTGTGAAGGTGATCTTCAGCTAAGTGGCGACTTCCAAACGCTGCTAACAATCAGGACACGTTTCATTTCTCATTTTTTACATTAAAAAAATTCTATGAAATTTTCCTACAGACATTTTCTAAAAAATTGCGTGATATATTCATTTCTTGTTTTTCCAATAATTTGACAAAATTTTTCAGAAATATTCAGTAATTTTTGTTTTACTTAGCTTATTGTTCTAAAATATTTAAATAACGCTTTTTAAATCGTCCTTTCTGAGACCATTATAAAACCTTTAATACGACTAACCCTAGCAAGATGTGGGAAGAGCTTGCCAGCTATAAGAATCACTTCCTTCAACTCGAAGTGAAGAGCATGAAAAGTGAAACGATAAACGATTTGGTCACCAGCGCATATCAACAACGTCAATCGAAGCGCTGCAAATGTGCATGCCCAGACGTGGCCAAATGTGAGAGTTCCACCTATTTCCGGGACCATGCGGCGTTGGCTTACGGCTTCATATGCGTAGAGAAGTTGATCAAAGATATGTGTAGTGACGTGCCGCTAGTAAAATGGCAGAATATTAATTCACTCTCAGAAGTATTGCGCAATCCATGGCAAGCGCAGCGGGCCATTACACAGTACGATGTGGTGCGGAAGTAAGTGCACTCTTATTCTATGAAGATAGAGATGGTCTAATTGCAGCTGCTACTTTTGGTTTTTTCTACCGCTAGGTGCACAAATATGTTCATGCGCCTACAGTATGGCTATCATCAGGAACACTACCACGAACGCAGGCAGTTGATGAAAATATTTTGTAAGTAGTAAGAAAGCAAAAAAAAAAA